GTTAATATCCGGTTAATAGATACAACATTATTAGAAGAATGTTGCTATGCAAAAATTCTTATATGTTATTTTGATTACTACTGTGCAGTTCATGGTTAAATATTAATATCAGCTCATATTTACAGTTGCATTGTACAGACACATTTATTTTGAAATAAAAAATGTACAGATACAATTATTTTAAAGTAAAAAATGTTACTTGTTTATAAAAGATATTTTTTATTATACATATATCTTTCCGCTTAAGTAATAAATATGTACATATGTGCAGCACCATTTGTGATTCGCAGATAAATATTTTTCTTGCAAAATTGTTTTGATTTGTAATTGCAAAGATTTATTGGAACCGGCGTTGAACTGAATAATGATTCGTTTGTTTATATTTTGCAAGACTTAAAGATTTTTATTAAGCAATACAATCTTCACTTTTATACTTTTTTGTTACAGAATAAATGTTGCACTAACAAATATCAAATTTATTTGCCAAATGTCGCTCCATTTCACTACAGTTGTAATATCATTATATCATATACATTAAGACCGAAAAGTTTTCGGAAATTCTCATTTAAAATTCGCGCGCTGTATATTTTTCGATATTTTAAGTTTATGTAGTTTGGCAGCAATTAAGGACAATTACTATGCCAAAAATGAGCGCGATCTGTCAGACAGTTCGTTTACGGCAGCTGTTGAAACCAGTTCACCTCAGTAGTGCGTTGCGGAAAAAACAATGGAAAAAAATATTGAACAAAGAGTTTGCATCAAATTTTGTGTTTCGAACGAAATTTCGTGTGCAGAATCGTTGCGAATGCTACAAAAGGCTTATGGGGAATCAGTTTTATCGAAAACTCAAGTTTATGAGTGGTACAAGGCCTTTCAGGACGGTCGTACGACGGTCGAAGACATTTCGCAACGCACTACTGAGGTGAACTGGTTTCAACAGCTGCCGTAAACGAACTGTCTGACAGATCGCGCTCATTTTTGGCATAGTAATTAATGACAGTGCTGCCAAACTACATAAACTTAAAATATCGAAAAATATACAGCGCGCGAATTTTAAATGAGAATTTCCGAAAACTTTTCAGTCTTAATGTATACTTAAATTCTTACACTTTATTGTACGAAAGGAATTTTATTCTCATTTTACGTGTTCATTATAAGGAAGACATTTTCATTTTCATAGACTTCAGCAGATACATGGTCGGAAATGGGTACATTTGGTTTGTTTAAATATTTCCAATGTAACTTCAGCGGTAGTCTATTATAAACCCTATATATTATTATTCAGAAAAACATGATAAATCAGCAATATCTGTCTGTTATATAGTTGAATGCATTTATGACTTTGTGACAATTTGTGAATTCAAACCAAAGAACTGCAATGAGTACTCAACGCTTGAATCATACTCTCTCTTTTTCGTATATTCGACTTCATCTAATTCCACCCACAACCCCTAAAATTGTGGACTTTGATTTCTTCACATTGATTGCAAATCACAATCAGTCAGTGACTATGATCGCAATTTGGCTAAACAATAATTAAAATCATTGTTCGTTTTGTAACTTTGGACATTTGCTGTGTGTGGTCACTGTCCAAAAAAAAAAATGTGTTTTGGATCATTGTTCAAAGCAAACAATGATTGTTATCATTATAAAGACAAACAGTGATTTCGATTATTCTGATTTCAATAAAAGTTCATTAAATGTTCTATTGCGATCAGACTTTAGTAAATAAACCCTTTATTGTGTATGTATATATATGTTCAAAAATAAAACAAAAATTGTGAATACGAATATAGTAATAGAGGGATTCGACGTGCTTGGTAACTAGGTAAAATTTAAAAATTTTATGTGTTTATTGTCTTTGTGGAATTACAACTTTACCGAGTCTGATAATTTTTTCGATGTTCGGTATCATAGTATCATGAAGTCTTGTACAAAAGTTCAATTTAATTTGAAATTCCTAGTTTTAAAAAATATGATATATAGAGAAATATTTACAGAAACTATAAATAAAATATAATAATAAAACTAACTTTAATTTTAAATTTTATTTTACCATTTTGTTTTGGTTTTAAGCCTAGTACTAACATTTATTTCGCGCGAAAAATTCACATAAAACTCTACGTAAAATTTTTTTTGTGTGCGGAGTTTTATGTCCATATTTTGTGTGAAATAAATGTTGGTACTGCGCTGTACTGAGAAATAATAAAAAATATGTACTCAGACCTTCATCATTCTATAATGAAAACGGAGTTACCGGGCAACGTATGAATTTTAATTATGATTTTCAAAAATTAAAATTTAATTAGTGCTTCAAATTGATTAATATTTGCACATTTTTCAATTGCTTTATAAACTAGCTGGAAAATGATCGTCATTTAATATAATATTTCTTAACTTTTAAGTTCAAATAATAAACAAATTAAGTAAAATACGAATATTGAATTGGGTTTCATTAGAAATAATGCAAGTTTTTCTTTCATAATTTATAAACATCTTACGTTGTGGTATTGATCCGAAATGACGGACAAAGTTTTAAGAAAATCTATTGCTAACACTATAAGAGCATTCATTCATTCATTTGCAGATCATTTTCTTTTACTTCAAGTAAAGTAAAGTCAAGTGCTTAATTTATTTTTTATATGTTATAGTATATTTATCTTAATTAATCATTTTGCATGGCTTGATTAATTTGGCATTTTTTGACGTTTTTCCAATATTTACTTTCTTATTTAAATTAAATTAAATTAAATTTAGTTAAATGTGATGTTTGTCTGTCTTTAGGCACTGTTAATGAAATTGCTGATAATGTTATAAAGATTCCGATCTTATTTAGCTGCTGGATTTTCATGAGCAGAAAAGTACTCCTTAAAGCATCCACCAAAATAATTTCGCCAATTTTAATTATTGAAAATTCTATTCTATACAAATCAATTCTTTGATCATTGGTTGGTTGGTTGGTTGCAGTGGCAAGCCATCAGCTAATTTTCCATGTACCTGAATTAGTGATTTTTCGCCGTTTTGCTACCGCATTCCTCGCAAGAACCCTTAAGATAGAAGAATACAGATTAAATCCATCCCATCTACTTTGATCATGAACTTGAAATTATTTTTGATATTTTTGATTTGTTGGTTAAATAGTACATTTTACTGGTAGTATAGCTGCCTTTTGGATACCCACCCGGTGACCTACTTGGGAGCATCTTTGTCCTCGATAATTTGTTGTTCGCTATTGAAGCTATCTATGTTTGTTACAAACATTTTCTGTGATATTAAATCATTTTCTTTTTTTAATGTTTTTAGTCGACCCTTTTTGGTTTTTCGGAATTTAGCACTTTTGCTGGCACTTGGTCTCTGAATAGTTTTTTAATTTATATATATTAAATATGCAGTGATCACTCTTTTTTAAATGAGTTAATAATTTATTGTTATCTTTATGGATATGTTACGGTTTATCTGTTATTTCTAATTGAAATTAAAAAAAAAACTAAATAAATAAAATTAAAAAAGAAAAAAATTAAAAAAGAAATTTAAAAGAAAAATGAAAAAAAAATTAAAAAAAGTATAAATAAATACAATTAAAAAAGAATAAATAAATAAAATTAAAAAAGAATAAATAAATAAAATTAAAAAAAAATAAATAAATAAAATTAAAAAAAAATAAATAAATAAAATTAAAAATAGAATAAATAAATAAAATTTAGAAGAAACTTTTTTAAATAATATTAAAAAAAATAAATTTAAAAAAGAAAATTAAAAAATAGTCCTTTAAATAATTAATAATTTAAACAATGATAATATTAAAAAAAAATAATAATATTGACTTAAGCTGACTTTGAGGTTAATTTTTTAAATGATATTAAAAAAAATAAATTTAAAAAGTTAAATTAAAAAATATTCATTTAAACAATAAATAAATTAAACAATGATAATATTAAAAAAAAGATAATGTTAAAAATATTGGACGTAAGCTGATTTTGAGATCTATGCAGAAAGAGTAACATGTACTCTTATAGATTTATGATAAACTTATAAACTCATAATTGATTCTGAAAAATTGTCAAATAACTTTCTCTGTAACTATATCTGTGGGTATCAAGAAATTATACTCAAATTATGGTAAAACATAAAAAATTAGTGTTGCCAGATAGAATAAAAATGGACTTTTTAATGTGGTGTGCCGCATTTCTGCTGACAAAATTTTGTAGAACACAAAAATGCAACAAATTAATATTAGTTTTTTATTTTTAATGTATATCATTGAAATATAAAAAAAAATTACTACACTTTCTCAAAAGGGATGTACAACCAACATGCCCCAAATGCGGATATATTCTAACCATGAGCCATATCATAAACTGCTACACCAGCCTTTTCAACGCGATCAAGAATAGTGAATTCAATATAATAAAGCTACACTTACCCAAAGACATATTAAATAAAATTTAGATCTAATTCTTAGCATGAATATAATCACAGGGCGAAGGACCTAGTTGTCCAGTTTTTTATTCTTAGTTAACTTTGAAATTAATTTTAGTGTTAATTTATAAATAAATAAATAAAAATGCCATATTTTCAATTTTTATTTTAATTTGATTGCAAAAAGGAGTATATCTAAAAACCGTATAAACACTGCGACCACACCCGGTTTATTGAGTCCCTGCTAATTTAATTACTTCAGTAAATATTGTTCGAGATTTTTTAGATAAATTGCGATTCTTTATGACGAATTTTTTAATCCACTACTGTGGTACGTATCATTACGATAATAATGAGATTATCATAACCACATGCACTCATTGATATTGTACCATGAACTTAAAATATTCATTGTATGTTTTTCATTATAATATATAAATTAAATAAATACTTTATTTTATGCACTTGATTTATTTTTAATTTATGGAAATTGTCACTTGTTATTAATTCAAAATATTTACTTTTAATATTTAAAAATCATTACAAATTTCATTAACCTCTTTTTTAATCTGTTTTTTTAGTTATGGTCATAGCCAATAACGAATGGCTTCATAATTGCGAAGATGGTGAAAAGTCTGGAACAACTAATAGTACTTCTACTACAACAACAACAACACTCACAACAACATCAACACCTACCACAACAACAACTAGCACAAGTAATTCTATTACTGAAACTCCAGCAGATACAATATCGACACCAACAACAAATACTGCTAATACTGTTACTAATACTTCAGCATTACCATTGCCAGTTTCAACTACGTCATACAACGCAACAACAGAAACAACAGCATTATCAACAATTACCAACGAGAACGTTATAGAGTTCCTAATACAACAGGATCAGGAGTTACATAGTGCACGCATTTTGAAAGCTATGGCTAAACAAGTTGGAGAGTCCTTAAATAATGAGGTCGAGTTGCGCGCAAATGAAAGTGATAATAATAATTGGTCCATTTTAAATGCAACATTTTTGAATGATACTTTGAATAAACAATATGGTTTGAATTCAAATACAAATTCCAACACCAATTCGCTGCAGACGAACTCACCCCGTTTGACTAAATCGATAGAATCAACGTCGGCAAAGCTTTCGAATCCCACAGCAGCTGATGAATTGAGCACCACATTACAAAGCGACATGAGTACAAGTGGTAGTCCGAATTCGAGTAACTCTAGTGACAATTCGCAAAACTATAATCGACATATAAATATAGCATTTTGTGAACCGTCGAAAAGTTTACCCGTAAATCAGTTACATAGTAGCAGTGGATCTAGTTTAAGTAGTATCATTAGCACAAATTCAACCTGTAACAATGTTGTTGGCTCTGATAGTATAGGTAATGATAATAATGGGAATGCAAAAATTATACTTATCTGCGAAGCAAATTCTCATCCATTTGAAACTCGGACCATACCACTTACACCGAATATTGAATGTAAAGTGGGGCGTTTAATTGCCAAAAGTAAAGCGTCAGAATCCAATGCTATATTTGATTGTAAAGTTCTATCTAGAAATCATGCTGTACTTTGGTTCTCCGCAGATGATAATAAATTTTGGGTTAAAGATACAAAATCTTCAAATGGTACCTTTATAAATGATAGCAAGTTGGGCACTGAAGCAGCAGAACTGCATTTCGGTGATATTGTCAAATTTGGTGTTGATGTGTTAGAAAATTCTCGAAAAGAAGTGCATGGTTGTATTATTGCCTGCGTAAAATTATATTTGCCAGATGGACGAGAAGCGATCTCAATCGAAACGAGTATGCACCGATCACTTCATTCGGGTGAAACTAGAATAAGTTACGAGGAATTACATCGCTTGAATTTATACATACAGGAATCCGTGCAACGAGAAAAGGTGCTCAAATCCAAATTATATAACATACAAAATGTGCTTGATGCTACACGGAAAAGTACGGCACAATGTTGGCAATCAATGATTTCGGAAGATCAATTGTTACATCGTATTCAATGTTTAGAGAAGAAAGTGCAGATTACGGAGAAAAATTTGCCTGAGAATGTGTTAAAAAGCGAGGTAAACTATAAACATAAGCATAATGGCATTGTCCACACAAATATATGAACACATAAATAGTTTTATTAAATTTAATTTGAACCAAGATTATAACATATGGAAAGCATATATAAGACTATTTATAAAGATAGAATAGTTTCGACTATAGTCAAGGTTTCAATAGAAATGTAGAAATGTAGTTTGAATGAAACTTAACAAAGAACTTTTTACGAATTTGTTTAGATTAATATTATTTTTTTTATTTTTTCAGTATAATTCAGTATTCAAAATATATAATACATTAAGTAAATAATTTTCTTTATCAATTGCAATATTATACACATATATATATATATATATATTGCACACATATAACAGATTATTAAACATTCACTCTATAGATTATTTACATTACTTAACTAGACTTCTAAATATATTATGAAAAAACCGTAGACTACTTGACTGTGACGTAAAAAACTGACGAACCTATAGTCTTTAATCGAAAATACTTACATGTAACTCACTAAATAGGTTTGATAAGAATACCAATATTTATACCAGAAGAAGATAAATTCAGTTATTATGATAACTACACTTTTGTGTGCTCAGTATTCGTAAGTTTAAGCTCTTAATGTCGTATTTATTGTTTTCACAAATATTGAACTCAAAATGCAAAAAATATGATTCTTCAAATTCTATCAATGAAATTGAAAGAATAATTTCAATGAAATTAAATGAAATTAGTAACATTTATCTTTCTCTCTATTCGTTAAAACAATTATTTTTTACAATCTTATATACTAATAAAGTTTGGGAAATATGTTTGAAAACGCTATTTTTAATTTGAGTAATAATTTTATAAATCAAAAATTTATATTTAAATATATAGGTACATATAATAATCGACATACAAATTTTTACTACTTCGCATTTGACACAACAGTCTCGTGTGAACCTTGGCCTCCCTAGGGTTGCGTAGCGGTAAAATTTTTTTCGATGCAAGGTTGCTGGCCTTGCGATCAACCCCCCTACCCTGTAGGGTCAGATTTCCTTATTTCCTAACCTGGCGATAGGATTGGTGTTTAGTAGTTAGAGAATTTTTGCTATATGTTTTCAGGTTGTACCGCCTGTATTCGGTCGGCAGAGCCTTGTATTTGTTAAAGAGGATGCACCACGGGTAGATGAGGTTGACAGTTAAGAAGGCTAGGCTATATATTCGCATTGTTCCTCCATTGGGGCACACGCTTTTGCCCCTTATATCCCCCACATACAAATTTATGCATTAATATTTTGCCACATTTATACGAGTAGTGCATTTTATCAAAAATATTGTTAATTTTTTTTACCAAAAGTGACGCGTCTTATGAGAAAAAGAAACTATTTAAAAGTTAGAAGCGTTCGAATAGAAATGAAAAGACAACAACAAAAATATTAGTCAATTTATTGACGTAGACAGTTTCTCGAACATTAACAATTTTTCAGTTTTTGGTGAATCGTGAATTGTTGCATTTTGGTGAATTGGATCGTAATAAATAGATCAATGTAGCTGTTATTATTGTAGCCTGCGGGAATCTGTTAAGCGAATAACATGAAAGGAATTGCATGACAAATACATGGGTAAGGATGTCTATGGGTAATGGTTGTGCGATAGGAAGGAGTATTATTAGGGAGTGGGGATAGTTGGAGTAGTCAGGTTTGATTCCTATTTGAAACTGAGAAATCGCTGTATAGTTATGTTATACCGATGGGTTATGTCTTTAATGCATACATTAGACATCTCAGTTAAATACTTGGGAAAATACTAAGTATGGGTTGACTTTTTCTAGTACTCGCTAGGTAGTTCCAGTGCCAGCTGTTAGAATAGGTGAATTTTTGTCTTTTTTCGTTAACCATTCCTATGACGTAGTCACTAAAACACAGGTCCTTAACCGATTGACATACCTGCTTTTTATGCAATGTGCCATCAATACGACAATAGTAAACGCTTTTCCTCAATTAGGCTGTTTACTATTTGCTGTATTCGCATTAATTGCTTGCAGTAGAGATTAAATTCATTCGTTTGAACAAGTGGTAGTAGCTTAATAACTATCCCTTCGAATTCTACCAATCACAAAGTATTTCCTTTCGCATCGATGTCTTGGTCTCCTTTTAGACCAAAACTGTTTTCAAAAAATAAAATTTTAAATTTTTACTATCTATTCCTTTGCAATTTATAAATTATTAGCACTGCATATTAGTAATGCAGTGCTAATAATTCAGCACATATAGTTTATAGAGTATTCAAATGTAATTTAATAATATAATTAGCTTATGTAAATTTAAACCATTTATGTACCATAATAGAATTATAGTGGATTTTTAGTTAATTATAACTGTTTTGGCTGCTCACATACTAGACTTCTAAAACTGTATCCATAATTATATAGATTTTTCTGTGATAGGTGGAATATAGATAGGGAATTGCAACATTATTTATATTAACTAACTATATGGATAATTGAAACAAAGTTGGAAACAAGTTAGAACTATAACATAATGAAATATTCTTTCTGCATATGTTAGTCTTGACTGCTAGAAAATAGGCAAATTTGCCGGAATACGTATAGAAATATATTAAAATTAACACTTTAAACGTAAAGGACTTTGATGTGGTTACGACGTAACAACTCAAAAATTAAAAACAAAATTGAATAAATAATTGTTTTCATATTTATTAAAATGAATAAATATTTTTGATGTAGATTCTTAAACTGCTAGACGAAAAAACTTCATACCAGCACGCCGCCAAAGAAGCCTTAAGAAAAGTTTATCAAGAACGCTGTGATGCTATGCAAATGTTAACAAAAATGGAATCAACCTTCCAGTCATCTGAAAATGAAGGTAAATTGCTACGCGAACAATTAGCAAATGGAAAGCAGGCGTTGCAAGATGTTAGTACGCGCTTATTAAATCTAGAGGCGGAATATAGTGAATTTAAAGTTGAAAGTGAAAAACTACTTCAAGAGGCTAAGTTTGAAGAAGAAATACGAATTGCAGATTTAACAGAGAAAATGACTCATGCCGAGAAAGAATGCACAGAACTCCGACGAAAAGTTTGTGATCTTCTACGGGGTGAAGACGAAGATCAACTACAAAAGCAAGCAATTGAAAAGTTAGATGCTGCCATTGCAGATATGGATTTAGGTGATGATGACGATGATGACGACGATGAGAATGAACTCTCCTTTAATGAAATTGGAAAGAACATTGATGATATGGTACCTAAGTCCATAACAGACCTTAAAAATATATGCGACGAAAAAATTACCAAATTGGATATCAACGAATCTGAACATGTTAAAAATGGAAAAGAGGTAAATTTATTTGTATGTATGTATTTGCTAAGATCCTTTGAATTGAATTGAACTTTTAAATTGAAAAAGTAAAAACTATTAATGTTTTTACTAAATAAATTTTAATAATTAATTATTATTTTATCAAATAAATATAGCATATATTACATGTTTAGTTTTTGCTAAATTTGGAGATCAAAGGAATGTTATATATTTTTAAGTTTTCTTTTGATAAATTGATTCATCATGCAATATTTGTCGTTTGCCACCATCTTGTTGTGATCCAAGTCAAAATCACTTGGAATTTGGAATTCTTTATTCCAAATACAAAAATTTTAAGCTTCATCACTATATATATAAGTGATTAAATTGGATAAATTTAATATACAAAATCATTTTATATGACAAAGGAAAAATATCCTCATCATATAATTTATATTTATTTTTTATCTTAATTATCAAAATCACAGCGTTTCTCATCTGCTAAGACGCGAATCCCTAAAGGTTTACGCCATTTATACAATCGGTATTTTGGGCTTGACATCATTTTTTGGTATGTCATTAGTGCCAGTTATACTTTAGATATTGTTTCGGTTTTAATTGATTTAATAAATTGTATAAGTTAATGTCAACCAATGAATTATTTTTTATCCCAAATTTAATATTCTTATGCGCCTAATCCGAAAAGATTTATAGATTTATTTTGTAACAAATTTTAACCATTTCTAAAGGCTGTGTATCTTTTTCTATGGTGATTGCCAAACAATACCAAATGTAAAAGTCAATTGTGGTGGTTAGAAATAATTATATTTAAGAAATATATAGCACTGTTTTGATCACCCTTTATATAGATATGTATAAATATAAATAATATAAATATTAATGTAAATACAAATATAAATATAAATATAAATATAAATATAAATATAAATATAAATATAAATATAAATATAAATATAAATATAAATATAATATAAATATAAATATAAATATAAATATAATATATAATATTAAATATAAATATAAATATAAATATAAATATAAATATAATATAAATATAAATATAAATATTAATATAATATAAATATAATATAAATATAAATATAAATATAAATATAATATATAAATATAAATATAAATATAAATATAAATATAAATATAAATATAAATATAAATATAAATATAAATATAAATAGATTTTTATTTTATTTATATTATTATATCATATTATATTCTTTTATTTTGTGAAATAACTAAAATTTCATACTGTTTATTTTAGGAATCTACAAGTCAGCATTCCATTTCAAATAATGAAAAACCAGCAGAAGCTACGGAATCTACAATAATGAAATGGCTTCAAAACTCCGATTTGAATAAGAAGGCAGGTTCATTAGATATATTTAAAGCTATTTGCAACGAGTCTGATTCAAGTGATGAACACGAAATATCACCAGCGCGAGATACAATTTGTACTATTGACAAAACCAGTGATTTCCAAGAAAAATGTCTTAATTTCTCTAGCAAATTAAAAAATGTGCAAGACAACTTAAAACAACTGGAAGCAGAGATTGAAATCGAAGCAAATAGTGTAGCAGATTTCATTGCAACAGCCTATGATGACAATTCAACCACTGGGGACGATAGCGATGATGAAGATGATGACCAATACTCATTACAAAACAATGGCACAGTTAATAAGCATAAATTTAAACACAATAAGGGATATCTGCTGCTAAAAAAATCAGTTAAAATGCTGAGAGAAGCATATAATGAGCTATGTGACAAAATAGTGTCAGATGAAGACAAACATAGAAAATCTCCCACACCACCGCCAGCCATAAGTGTACAAACACAATTCCAAAATTATGCACAGCATAAGCCTAGTACAAGTGCCGTTAAGCGTTTGGAAACGCAAGATACTCTTAAACCATTACCAGAAATTATTGAAGATGAAGAAGATATAGATCATGTTGAAGATGTTATTCATGAGAGTGATATAGATGGTGAGGTCGATTTAAGCACCGATGTCGATGAGGCTAGTCATACACCGTTGTCACAACAGTCTTTAAGCTCAATAACTACGCTTAAGGGTAGTGAAATTGCGCTGAGGCAAAAGCAAACTGATGATGAAATTATTGGATATCAGCTAAAAATTAACGACTTAAATGAAAAAATTAGCAAAATTGAAACTGACACACAACATATGCTTGAAATTATGCAGTTTGAGTGTGATAAACAGCAAGATAAAATTGATAATCTTATAAAGGTTAACGAAACATTGGTCAGTGAAAAAGAACATCTGCAAAAACAATTAATTGTAAGGGAATCATCTTTGCACGAAACGAAAGAGGTGCAAAATGCTACGGAAGACGAAAATAAGATATCATTATCACTTAATTCTGTCAACAATGGTACTGAAAATGCCACAGACACTACTGAAGCTAGCAACATTAATGATGTTACACAGAATATAGTTGACAATGGTATTACCGCTAAAACAATAAATACGCAAAATAATCTTGATGAAATGAATTTAATGCAAGAATTCGAGGAGGAAAAAGTTGCCATTAACACCAATGCTATGCGCCAAGAAGAGGAACTGATTACCTACAAAGAGCACTTGGAAGAAATGCACCGGTACAACTTACTGCTACGAAAAGAAATTTCAGACATGAAGCAAAACACAATTTATAGCCCACAAAAATTATATAGCAAACTGCTACCAATTGGCGTTATTTTTATAGCAATAATTCTTTATTTGGTTATAATGTACTTTTAAAACAAAAATTTTATTATTTGTTAATCATGTTTTATTTTGAACTGCGTTTGCGTTAATCGCAGCAGAACTGCTTAGTCGTTTTTAAATACAAATTGATCTTGCAATAAATGGTTCTAAAATGTAAGATATGTTAGGCCTTAAAATAGGTGAAAAAAATATATTAATAACGGATAAAGGAGTTGGACGCGCTAAAAACTACTTATGCCTGAAATAACAAATTAAATTATTTTTATTTTTAAATTTACGATAAAATTAGCAAAAAAAAAGAAGTTGTAGATATTAGCGATCATTTAGCCTGTAAAAAATTAGATCGGTACACAATGTAAACAAACTCTTATCAACAAAAACAAAAAGAAAAACAAAAACAAAAACAAAAAAGCAATGTAAGGAAGAATTATTATTATTTTTCCATATATGAAAATTTTTGTGAAAAATTATATGAACATTTAAGATATAATATTAAGCATGTACGGTTCTTATCGAACTGTTATACAAAAAAATAACAACAACAACAATAAACAAATCAATCGTAGCTTTAAAGAAAACTTTTTTGTAAAAAATTGTGTAAAACGCGTGCGTAGCATTTTTTTATCATAGCGTAAAAGTATGTTTGCTAAAAATGCATTTTTCTTCTACATTTAATTATATATATATATATATATACATATATATTAATTAGATATAATTATTATATTACAAAATACACCCAAACACACACACATATATATAGATATATATATATATAGACACATATATGTATATATATATATACAAATACACTTTTTATATATATACGCGAACATATATAAAAAAGACAAAATATATATATATATATTAATAAAATAATTAAAAAAAAACTCACGATCATAAACGAAACTTGTATGTACACTAAATAAACACTTATATCGATATTATTAATAACAAAACAAAACAAAAAAAAAAAAATAAACGAATTAATACAAAAATAAACACAGTCTGTCTGTCAAACATACATATGAAGCAGGTTTTTTTATATTTTATTTAATTAAAAATATACGATTGCAATTCGTCTAAAATAAAAAAACCGCATTAAATCGAAAGAAATAAACCCATAATGTTATGTTCATTTCCAAGCGAAATATTCATGAAGAAAAAAAGAAATACGATAAACGACATGCAAATTTTAAAAATTTAAACTTACTATAATTACCGATATTTATATTATTCAACACACCATATAGAAAATAAATTTTAAAAAATATCACTGTTTACAAGAACTCCATTGACTCCATTGTTTTTCGGAATTCCGTGATTTATACTTGGTTTACTTTTAATTTTTGTGTTATCTCCGAAAAATCTTGATTTTATTTTTATAAATAAATGTTAATGTTTATTTTTTGTTATTTTTATTTATTTTTCTACATGTATAATTGGTTAAGTAAAAAAAAAATGCCATCGCAGGGCTATATCTTTTATTAATAAAATTTTTTATAAAAATAAAATTTCATTATATGTATTTTTTCTGCTCCAAATATGCTCTGTAATTTTTTGAAATTTAGTTAATTTGTTTCACATTATATATATTATAAAAAAAAATTAATTGAAAAAATAAATAAAACATATGTTATGCAAAGAAGAACTTTTGTAAATATGATTAGTTTTATTTAATGCTTGCAAAACAAATATTCAATTATATTATCATTGTTATGATTATTATTATTGATATGTTCTAAAAAATAAATATAAGAGCTTAGTCTAATCACAAAAGATTTCCAACTATTCCTATCGTACGCTATAGCTTTTAGTTCACTGAAAGGTTTGCTTGATTCTCTGGTAATTGTCCTTCTCCATCTAGTTTTCGGTCGACCGTGATTTCTTCTTTGCGGACTTCACTCTAGAGCGGCATGTGTCATGTGAGCTATAACAGAACAACTGTCAATATATAAACAAATCTTGAAAAGAAAGTATGATTAGTTGGATCACACTCTACGTAAACTTTACACCACACTATATTATGGTTCGGGTTAAAATACTTAGACGAAGTATGGTATACTAAAATACACGATTATTTTTTAAGCAGAAATTTACGCAACACAGTTTATGCGAAACCTTTGCACATAGTTATTAGAAGCAGAGATTATCCATTCTAACTGGTTAATAATAATTGGTCGTAATGTTAACAATGTTGTTGAATCCAAACGTCGAACTGAAGGAAAGCACATAAAAGATGGACAAGATACTGTACAATGGAGTAGAATAGGTAGGAATAGGTAGGTTAAATCTAATCTAAGTCCAAGTGGAAGTAAATTTGTGGCACTCAATTCATTATGCATAATTTTGTCCAGATAATTATGAATTGGCTTCCAACTAGCTTACGTTGAAGTTTTTGATAAGGAAATGAGAGATAAACTTGCATTGGAATTAAGCAGTCACGCTGTTTGTAAGATAGGAATTTCTCAAATGCTTAGGACTGTGTGTGTGTTATAACCCGCAAGGATGTGCTTGTGCAGTCCCTTTTAGGTTGTTATTGAACTCGGCAAATCGCTCGTGAACGTAGATCTGGCCCTTCTTGGAAGGACGGCTGTCTAATTTCTTTTTATTGATTCTGGAAGAAAATGAGAACCATGAAAGGCTATAACGAAATAATTTATCAAGCCCATAGCGATCAAAATCGCTTATTAAAGGTATAATAATCGATTATTATTTATACCTTTATTGCTTTGAAATACAAAATAAAATTAAATTAAGATACTTTAAGAAGCAAGATTTTAATAATTTAGGAAGACACTCTGTCAGGACAATATGGCTTCATTTATCACCTATCAAAAATAGGAATTTCTTCTAAAATATTTTCTATCTTATCTTATATCGGATGAAGAAATTAGATTAGATAAAATTAACTGAATTTATGCGAACATAAAAAGTCAAGTACGGCTTTGGATCAGTTTGTTAAGGTGCGCTGATTCTGAGCTTCATATTTGGCAGGACCCGAGTTCGATTCCTGGTACTTGCAGTCTCAAAAATAATTATTTACGAATAATTAAATATAAGAATTATTTCCAAGACCACTGATGAAGGGTATTTGGCAATACTCGAAACAGCTGTATGGTCAGCCAAAAATTCAATTAATTAAAATAATTTAAAAAATAAATTTTTGTTGTTGTTTCACTTCTGTTCGAAAACCTCTTTATAAAATTAACTGAGGAATTGGTTCTCAGAGAAAAATCAAATACCACACTTAATAGTTTTTTGCATTCCAATATAAGATATATCCAAGTTTTCTCGAATTTTACATATTTTTTTTATACAGAAATCTTTATTTTTCTTATAATTTTACTAATTACTTAATTTTACTAATTGATTAATAGAATTCACTTACCTCTTACTGTTTTCTTATAATCTAGCATAGGTGTTAATTCCTTTGTCTAAGAAACAAAATAAAATCCTATCGAACGGGTTCATTTTTCAATATTACCGGAGATACATGGAATCAAAAACAGAATCTGGATCTGGTACGTGATTTCTGAAACTAATGCATCTTAACTAAAAAAAGAGTTTTTTGATGGGTAGTAACTATCTCTGTGAAAGTACGTTTTCAACTATGAATTGCATAAAATTAAAATATATATCTTCACTGACAGATAGTGCATTTACAGAAGCATTGCAACTGGCACCAACTAATATTGATAATGTAGATATTGTAAGAATTGTAAAAAATAAATTACTGAAGAGTAATTAACAAAACTTAATTTCAAATTAGCGTCATATTTTTATCTTTCTTCTAAAAAACCATTTACGCATGTATTGGTTTCTGTAGGCGATTCGTTGGAATATGAATTACATGACCGGAACTATTTTATGGATGATTATATCATTGAAACTATCAACCGGAATGAAATCCTTAAATCAAATTAAAGACCATACGTGCACTTAAATTCAATATATTGCTTATTGTGTAATCTATGTTAATCCAGCCTAAGAACATAATACACTTTATTGGGTTATGTTCAATTCTGAAAGAAATGCGCTACAAATTTTACAAGAAACATACTCTTACAGTAGAAGAAATATTAGATGCATTAAACGGTGAGAAGTGGGCTGCACTCAAAGAATAGTAGATGAAAATTTTTAGATTTAAATAAAATAGAACAAGAAGGAAAAGAATTGAAGAAGTACGACAGCTTATACCAACTACAAGCGCAAGCCTAACGGCAAGCCTTTTCCGTCCTTTATGACAATGCCAAAATCACTCGTATTGGCGAGTATCTTTTGTCACTCGCCCGTAGGTACCTCACTCGGCTCCACCACCTCCCCTGACGTCGTCATTCCCAATACACTTCCTGAAGACCTTGTTCAAGCCTTGCTCTTTAAACTTTCGAAATACCTGTTCCTTTACTGTAATGAGTGCTTGCACTACAACCCCAACCTCTTCATTACCATCTAATTTCCCTAAATTATGCCCTTGCTTCCTGGCTTCGATGAACCTAGCTTATTAAGTATAAAGCCTATCTGCTTCCATATCTCTCCCATGATTACTGGAATGAATTTTTCGCGCTGCTGTGAAAATCTTGTCCATTCATTCCTAAGAGGTTGTATTAGTGGGTTCAAGTCTTACACTGTGGCTTTCGATGCTTTCCACCTTCTGCAAACAAAAAAACACATTATTAGTTAATTAGTTTGTAGGCAGACGGCATTTAAGCCATGTCTTTAGTTCAATAATTAACAATATTACAATTAATATGTAAATATTTTGTAATTTATTAATTCATATCATAAATTAACGTCTAAGATTAGTGTTGAGATTGAAATTTTATAATGTTTTGAACTAAAATAAAAATACTATACTCTACTACAGTAATTTGTATTAGTCATTTGCAAAACTCCCTCTTAAAAAGCGTCTTGAGCTTCATTAAATCTTCGGAATGAGTTTTATACACTATACCAAAAGAGATATAGATTTATCCTTAACCTAATCTAACCTAACCTAATTAACGAAAACATATACTAAGTTCTTAGCAGTTTTAATAGTTTTTTTAATAACCTATTATTTATTGCTGCATTGAGTAATGGATTCCAAATTGATTTTTATAACAATCATAACAGAAAAAAGTAGAAACACTAATTTACTGAATAGACGAGAAATAAAAACAAATTTTGGGAGAGCGCTACGATTCCAATTTTCTGGTAAAGACTATTTGATAACGGAGAAAATACAGATATTTTAAATAATATCTATGATTACGCCATATGTCAATATAGCTTAGTTTGTGAAT